GTGTGTGTGTGTGTGTGTGTGTGTGTGTGTGTGTGTGTGTGTGTGTGTGTGTAGTACAGGCCAGAGGTATAGATAGGAAGGCGGGAAAGTGAGAGGAGTTACCAGAGACAGAGTGGGGAGCAGAACAGGCCAGTTAGCACCCTGGCAGGGGATCGAATTCATGCAGCAAAGGTAACAGCATGGAGGCTCAACCCCTAGGCCACCAGGGGGATGGAATCTTTACTTGAGAAGAAGGTGGATTTGGTCTTCATGTTCTTGCAGGAAGGCCAGCCTACGTTTTTCCCACTCTTACTTCTAGTTCTGAGGCATCGCCAGCAGGGCGCTCTCTTGTGGAGACTCCCAAGATGAACGTGGATGATACTCAATGTTATGTCCTGACTTAAAGCGAATATTCCAAGAAAGTGAACTGCCTGGGGTGACAATCATTTCTGGGGGACGAGATTGGTCACAGTTTGCTTGACAAGAGAAAGTGGACGGTCCACTGGATGCCATTCGTCACATTGTGGTAGATGACATTTGCTTTCCTCACACCGGAGCTTTATCATGGTCAGCTGGTTTTGCTACTAAGGAAGTTCCGCTGAATTCTATGAACCTCAGCTATGTGACTGCAAGTTTGAGCGTGAGGGGGCAAGGAAGAGGAAATATGGGACGTGTGTAAACTTTTCTGATGCCCTCCCTGGTGGCAAACGGGTTTGGACGCAGCACTACCAGCGAGCCACAGCTGGTTCTGTGTGTATTCGATCCTAGGCCCTGGAGGTGACCCATGTGGCGCGGCAGACTCTCCTGACCCGCCTGCTCAGCAGTGTGCCTCGACCATTGGCCTGTTCTACTCCCCACTCTGTCTCTGGTGAAGCCTCTCATTGCCCCTGCACCTCTGGCCTGCACCCAGTTCTGTATGCGTAAATAAATAAATCTTTTAAAAAAAAAAAAGCAAACCTTTTCTTGTGGCATATGTCCTTCAGGCAAGAGTGGTCTCCACCGAATGCAAAGTTTTAAAACTTGATTCCAGAGCTTTAGAATACTTAGTACTCTTTTGAGAGGGGGCGGTGAAGGGAGGGCACTTGTCATAATGCGTATTTCAGGGACACTTGGGTTCTGTGTGGGGCCCAGGAATCTGACTTTTTACAAGTGTTCCAGTAGAATCTGCCCCAGGCAGCTCTGAGATCTGCAAACGGTACCTGAATCCTCAAGACTTCCCAGAAAGTCAGGGCGTGCAGATGTGTTAGTTTAGTTGAGGTACTTGGCTAATTAGGATTGATGAGGAGGCTACTGCAATATTTAAATATTCCACCCCTGTGTGATTAATTTCTCCCCTTTCTTGAGCAACTGGAGAGTGGGCAATTTTCCGACTTGAGATACTACTGCAAGTTTCTTTCTTTCTCTTTTTTTAAAGATTTATTTATTGATGCATACAGAACTGGGGTACAGGCCAGAGGTGCAGGGGTGGTGAAAGGATTTACCAGAGACAGAGTGGGGAGCAGAACAGGCAGATCGACGAAGTACACTGCTGAGGGGAGCAGCAGTGGCGGGGGGTGGGGTGGGAGGGTGGTCAGGAGAGGTCTGCGGCACCTCTGGGGCAGGCAGGGATCGAACTTATGTGGAAGTGGCTTAAGCTTCTTAGTACTGTGCTTCAACCCGCTGCACCACCAAGGAGGGCCCTAAAACTTGAATATTCTAGTTCCAACAATTCCTAAGTTTTATGAATTCAATGTCACAAAATACCTTCTATGTCCAAACACCACATGGCTTACATAAAAATCCCATAAAATTAGGATGAATGAGACTTTTTTATGAAGTTGGGCAGATTCTCTTCACTTGAGTCTATACCAAAATCCCAGTGAACTACCTGGGATTGCAGTCATTTTGGGGGGGAAGAAATTGGTTACAGTTTTCTGGTTTTTTTTTTTTTTTTGCGTAAGAAGAAGTAGGGTGTGGGCCAGAAATATAGAGGGTTGAGATGATTTACCTGAGACAGAGTGGGGAGCATAGCAGGCCAATCTACTGAAACACACTGCTGAGGGGAGCAGTGGGTGAAATGGGAGAGGCCTGCTGCGCCATGTGGGTCAGCAGCCTGCTTGGGGATTGAACTCAGGCCATCAAGGTGAAGTGCTAAGACTTAACCAGGAGGCCCTGGTTACAGTTTTCCTAATAAAATAAAGAATATTTTTTTTAAAGGTAGGATTTCACAGTACTTCAAAGGCAACAGGTTACATCAGTTTTGTCTTTTGAATGAAACAAGCAGTAACACTGACTATTAAGAAAGCTTAATAGTGAAGGCGTGGGCTCCTCTAAAGTCAGATTTCCCTGCTCTGTGAAGTCCTCGCTGCTTTTCAGATAGTTATAAAAGAGCCTTCCTGTGGGTACATCTCCCAGGCAGTAACTTGACTCCCATCCTTGGCACTGAGCTAGGACACACTAGGGTGACGAGTTTGCTGATGTCAATGAAAACTGACCACTCGGTTAATAGATGACTCCTTCTGGATTGGGGAGGGAGGAAATATGCCTATTTTTTTGTAGATTGAACCTCACAACCCCCATCATATAAATAAATTCTGGAGTTAGCCACAAGGTAAATGCCATCTACTGACCTTTGCCACTGGGTATATAAAAGGGACATGGCTTGGAGGTAGTGTGGTTTTGCAGTCAAAAACAGCATCTAGGCCCTCCCTGGTGGCACAATGGGTTAAAGCACAGCACTATGAACCTATCCACAGCCACTGTAGCATGAGTTCGATTCCTGGCCAGGGAGGTAACCCTGGCATGACAAACCTCTCCCGACTGGCCTGCTGCTTCCCTCAGCAGTGCATTTCAGTATATTCGCCTGTTCTGCCACTGTCTCTGGTGAATTCTCTCACTCCCCACACCTCTAGTCTGTACCCAGTTCTTGTATGCCTAAATAAACAAATATTTAAAAAAAAAAAAGAAAGAACAGCATCCAGGGGCCAGATTATTCCAGGTTTCAACCCTGCGTTGACCATGAACTAAGTCATTTTACTTCTTTTCAACTGAATGGGGTGGTGATATCTTGCAGGGAGTTGCCGTGAGGAAGCAACGTAATTCATGGAAGAGCTCAAACAGTACATGAAGTATGCTAAGTTTTATGTCTGTGTCAGTTGCTATAATTATAATCTACTTCACCGAAGATGGATCTGGGCAGTACGTATTTTCCTGAGCCCCAGGAGTTAGGCCAAGCCTTGGCTCTGTTTCCCTGGAACACCATCTCTGTTGGGCAGCATCTTAAATTCTGAGGTCCTTTCTCAGTCATTGGTAATATTAGTATTAAAGAATATTTTGCTTTTTATATTGTGCACAAACTAGGGAACAGGCACCAAGTTAATCACATTCTGTGGGTCACCTAAGTCTCTCCCACAACAGCTTTATTAGGTGGAGGTGATCAGGGCCTCATTTATAGTGGAAGAAACTGGGGTTGAGGGAGGTTAAGCAATGGACTACAGGTCTCAGTTGAGTAAGTGGTAATGGGGGACCCTGAGCCCAGGAAAAAGTCTGGTGCCACTGCTGCATCTTTAACCCCACTAACTACAACCCCAGGTGCAAACACACACACACACATGTTTTCTTTATGAGGCTGGGTGTGTTAACATCTCTTCTCCAGCCTTCTTCCACTTCATAGCCGACACCGACAAGATGCCTCAAGTTTCCTTTTCTGTTTTAGTGACCTTTTCTCCTCGCCGTGGCCAGAGCCATCTATTTATTTTCTTTGTGACACTTCCTGTTTTGATATCATCCCTTCATCCAACTGCTCCTAGATATGACTTGCATGATACAGGAAGTTGATCTGCTGTGACATCCACCACTTCTTGGTGCCAAGGTTGAGTTGGCTAACCTGGCAAGCGAAAGAGTGTCCCCTTATTCCCTCACCCAATCTGGTGAGCCTTCCTGAAACCAAGTCAAAGAAGCTGACACTCAGCTAGAGGGAAATGGTGTAGGAGAAATCATGCTGTTCTGGACAAGGGCTAGAGAGTGTCTCCAAGATCTTATCTGTCTCACTGGGAGCTATACAGTGAAACTGAGCTGGAGCTGGGCTTGTCCTTTCTGGGTCTTGATTGCCTATGGGTATACCACCTCCAGGACTGTCAAAACTCTGATAGGAAGTGTGATTGTTCCTAGCAGATGGAGCCCACCTCAGCCAGTTAGAGGAATCAGAATAAATGTCCAAACTTAGAAAGAAATATCAACAGCATACATCTCCATATGAGATGAGAGCCCACTGGCAATGCCAAAGATGTGTGATGACCACTTTGCTCTTTTGGCTGGATGGATACAAAACCCTGTAGGAAATCATTTAGCAGATCAGATGGTAAGCCAGAGCAAGTAATAATCTAAATATCCTATTTACTCTCCCACATTTCCTATTAGGCAAAACCATGGGGACTGCTGTCTCCAATAATTATGGATCTAAATGACATTTGTCTCTCCTGGCTTGGGGCAGTGAGACTCTTTTGTCCTTCTCTCCACTTGCCTTAGCCTAAGCCTGTTGTTCTAGGGGTTAGAAAAACAGCCACGAGCCAGCTACCTGTTTTGTAAATAAAGTTTCACTAAAGACAGACATGCCCATTTATTTACATAATGTGTGTATGGTTGCTTTTGTACTAAAATGATAGGGTTAAGTAGTTGCCTCTGAGATGGTATTTGAGGCCTGAAAATATTTGCTATCTGACTCTTTACAAAAAGCTTGTTGAGTTCTGTTCTAGATAGAGGAGCTACAAAATGGTGGAACTTTGGATTGCCTGGGACCCTGAATGACTGCATGGAGTGGAGCCCCTCCACAAATCTATGTGGCTCATGTAACAACAGTAAAGAAAAAGATAAAACTCTTATTACTGGAGCATAAATAAACATATCCCAATGGGCATTCAAGAAAATACTATTCATATCATAAGAGATTTAAAAAGCCTACTTACTTCCTTGTGAAGTGAACAGCACAAGAAATACCGATGATGAAAAGGCCAATAATGATGGCGGCGATGGCCACCCACTTGGCGTTCCTTCCAAGTCGCCTGGATCCTTCGATGTCTCCATCATTGTAGCTGTTCAGAGACTAGGAGGCACAACAGAAGAGCTGGTGATGACGGACAACATGCAAGGAAAGACATGTGCTTCTCAGGATGATCTGAGCAGGCCACATGGTTACTCTCCTCCAGGAAGTCTTCCCTGGATTCCCAAGGGAATTAAATTCCCCTTCTGTTTTTTAAAAAATTATCTTAATTGTAGTATTTATCAGAGCATATTAAAATGATTGATTTTGTCTCTCTCATTAGAGTGTAAGTGCTATGTGGGTAGGGACCCTTATCTACATGGTAAGCACGGTATACCAGCACCCAGTGTAATCTGTCATGTGGAAGATGCTTAATAGATATTTGTAGAATGAAAACATGAATGGGTAACTCTGTTTTGTCCACCAGAACAGAGATTTGCAAACCATGGCCCATGGGCCAATCCAGGCTGCTGTTTTTGTAAATAAGGTTTGTTTACAATACATTCACACTTTTTTGCCCGTGACTGCTTTTGTGCCCCAACAAAAGATTTGGGTAGTTGGGAGAGAGACCACATGTCCTGCAAGATCTAAAATATTTACCATTTGGTCCCTTGCAGGGAGGAAAAAAGGCCCATTTCTGCACTAGAAGGTGGATGGACATTGAACCAACTGTTCACCTCTTTGTCCAAGTTGAACTGTTATTCAGCTGGTACTAACTCATATGGGTTTTGCTGGATGTTAAAATACAGAACTAGTTCTGTACTTGTTGATAAATATCAGCAACCCTTCCCCAATGTCCCCGTCATCCTGTCCTTCTCTGAATTTCCCTGTGCTCCAGCAACTTAAGGGTTATCACTAGGAGCAAGCATCCCTTCTGATTCTGTGCCCAGTTCAAGATCATTAAGTATTTAAAAAAAAAGATTTATTTATTTATGCATACAAAAACTGGGGTGAAGGCCAGAGGTGAGGGAGGTAGGAGGATTCACCAGAGACAGAGTGGGGACCAGAACAGGCAGAATGACTGAAATACACTGCTGAGGGGAGTAGTGGGCAAGACAGGAGAGGTCTGCTGCGCCATGTGGGTCAGTTCCCTGGCTGGGGATCGAACTCGTGCTGCATTGGCTGACAGTAGCTTGACTGTGCTGTGTCTTTGACCCCTGCACTAGGGGCCACCTTCATTAAGTATTTTAAATATTGCCCTTGGTGCTGGTAGTTTGAGCAATGCTTGTATATTGTGGGGAATCAAGAAGCATGTATTGCATGAATGGATGAACAAGTATGTGTTTCCTTCCAGAATATGAGTCACTTTTCATCCCAGCCCAATCCACTGCTCAGGAAAGGTTTGCTGCTAAGCTGAAGGTCAGGCCAGCTGAGCTTTCTTCTAGTAAGCCTTCTGTACCATGATTCCCATTGCTGAGAACCCTCTCAAAGGGAATGGATTCTTCACTACAGCCCACAGAAGCCTGGAATGACATATTCAAGAGCTATGGACAGAGAATGCCACTGATGCAGTGAATTGTACTTTTCAGTGGGAGCGCCTACTCCTGATCTTCAAATCACAGCATTTGAGTAATAATCACTTCTCGGACTATGCAGGAGAAGTGGGCTTAGGCATATGCAGACATTTATAAGCCAAAGAAACACCCACTATACCACAGAACTTTCTGCTTCCGGAACCTTCCATTAATTCTTGGATCTGGGCCACCTTGTCTGCAACAGGCTGGGAGATACAGCAATGAAAATTTGCATTCAAGCTCTTGTGTGAATGGAAGAGCAGGAACGCATGATCCTCTCAGGGATTTCTAATAAGGTGAATTCAACTTTTGAATTCTGGAGTTCTCAATCCTGGGTGTCCATTAGAAACACCTGGGTAGCTTTAAAAATGCAGCTTTCTTGTCCCTCACCTGGAGAAAGTCTGATTTAACTGGTATGGACATTAGACACTAGTTATTATTATTATTATTATTATTATAGTTTGTTTTTACATCATTTTGTGCCTTTTTCCATCTCAGTTGTAATCCTCATGGACTTCCCATCACCAATTCACCCGTGTGCCATCAAGACACTACTGTTAAAAAAACCGTAGTTGGGCCTCACACTTGGCTTAAGGGGTTAAGTCTCAGCACTATAACTGCTATGGTCTGACTTTAATCCCCAACCAGGGAGTGACCCAAAAGGTGCAGCAGACCTCTCCTGCCTTGCCTAATGCCCCCCTCAGCAGTGTATTTCAGTGGATCTGCCTGTTCTGCTCCCCACTCTGTCTCTGGTGAACCTTCTCAGCCACTGCACCTCTGGCCTATATCCCCGTTTGTCTACACACAAAAAAAGAATTATGGTAAAATATGCACAATGTAAAACATAATTTTAACTCTTTTTGAGGATACACATCAGTGGCATTAAGTACATTCACATTGTTGTGCAACCACCACAATATCCATCATCTCAAACTAAAGCTCTGTGTCCAGTACACACAAACTCCCCAGGTCTCACTCCCCTCTTCCCTGGCGATCACCACTGAACTTCCTGTCTCTATGGATTTGACCATTTTAGTTGGTATCATACGATATTTGTCAAATATCATACAGTACTGTGACATGGTTTCTCCTGATAGCAGGAGTCAGAATTTTCTTCCTTCTAAAGACTGTATAATATTCCCTTGCATGTAGCTGCCACGTTTTAAAAATTCATTCATTCGTCAATAGGCACTCGAGTTGTTGCCACAGATGCTTTTTAAAGTGTCTCAGGATTGGAAACACTTGGCCTAGGAAGCTATCCTTAATGTTCTGCAAGATCAAGGTCCTTATCACCTTAAAACTTAAGAGTGTTAACACAGCATTGGCTTTGTTCTCAGAGACCTGAGTTCAAATTCCATGTCTTATCAGTTGTGAGAATTAGGGCAGGAAATCGTGTTTTCAGTGTTTCGGTAAAGTGGGGACAAGAGTAACAACACCTCTGGGCCCTCCCTGGTGGTGCAACAAGTTAAAGCGCAGCACTGTGAAATAGCCGCAGCTGCTTCAGCGCAAGTTCGATCCTCAGCCAGGGAGCTGACCCAAGGGCCCAGCAGACCTCTCCTGTCTTCCCTCTGCTCCCCTCAGCAGTGTACTTCATTGATCTACCTGTTCTTCTTTCTACCCTGTCTCTGGTGAATCTTCTCATCTCTGGCCTACACCCCAGTTCTATGCAGCCCCCCCTTTTTTGACCTGAGATCTTTCTTTGACAAAATATAATAGCAGATAACATTTATTGATCCTTTATTATGTGTCAAGCACTGTGTTAAATATTTTTTGGAAGATTTATTTATTAATGCCTACAAGAACTGGGGTGTAGGCAAAAGGTGTGAAGAGTGAGAGGATTCACCAGAGTGGGGAGCAGAACTGGCAGATGCACTGAAATACACTGCTGAGGGGAGCAGCGGGCGGGTCAGGAGAGGTCTGGTGTGAGTCACCTCCCTGACCGGGCATCCAGCTATGTTGCAGTGGCTGCCCATAGCTTGGTAGCACTGAGCCTTAACCCCTGTGCCACCAGCGAGGCCCCAAGTGTTAAATACTTTCCAAGGATCGTGATTCCACTAGTCCTCTATGCAGGTACTGCATTATTTGTATTTTCCTGATGGGGCTGTTGAGTCACAGAGGGGTTAAGATGACTTGTGTAAACTCGGGTGGCTAGTTTGTATAAGTGTGTGTATGTGTGCGTGCACCCAGTTTTTTTTCTTTCTTCTTACTCCCAAAATACGCACAGTACCCCTACTCATTATACTTCACTGTAACGATATTCACTACTCCAACAGTATTCACTATATTGGTCTGAAACTTGCTTCCTTCCAGCTAAGACAGGATAAGCTGGTGCTTCTAGATCTGTCTTACTCTCGGCTTTCCTTCTCTTCCTTTTAAAACAAGGAGTTATAATGAGACCCCCCATGTTGCATCATCCTTGCATTTTGGGGGGAAATCTTAATTTGTCCTGGTGAAATTTGGGGGTAACTTTTTGTCTTCCAGTAGCTTCAAATGAACATAAAATCTGCACGCCTATAGCAGAAAAATATCACTCTTTTTGGTGACAAGTGGCTACTTTAGTGAATAGCAAAGCAGAGAATATACCTGGTCTGTTCGTTGCAAAATTTTTACCCAGATTCTCCAGGTCCACTGTCTTTTCTGAATTTTAACTTTCATTTCGGTATTGTTTCCAGGTTTACAAAAGATTTCAAAGATACATTCATGTGTTGCTTGGCAACGATTCATTAACAATGGATGTATATGGGACAGTGGTCCTTAGAGGCTGTATCACACAGCGTAGGTGTGTGGGTTAAACCATCATATCTTCTAGGTAATTATACTCTGTGGTATTCACGTTTCCATGGTGACAAAATCGCCTACACATTTCCCAGGAAGTGCCCCCATGGCACATAACTGTAAGTACCAAGAGCTGAGTGGACCCTTCTTCAGGCGCCCCTTAATGATGGTGTCTCAGGAAGCCACAGTACTCTGTCAAAGCCAAGAAACTGACCTTGGTACAACAGCATTAACCAGTGCAGATTTTATTTCACCAGCTCTTACATGAACTCATTTTCAGTGTGTGCATAGTTCCATGAAGTGTCCTACGGGTCTGGAGCATCCATTGCCACAACCGAAGCCTCACGCTCTCCTTCCCTTCATAGCCATAGTTTTTCAATTTCTAGTTGTGCTGCTTAGGCGTTGCTTGGGACTTTTAAAAATATACATTTTTAAAATTTATTTTTGCATAGAAGAACTGGGGTGTAGACCAGAGGTGGAAGAGGTGAGAGGCTTCAACAGAGACAGAGTGGGGAGCAGAACAGGCAGGTTGACTGAAATCCACTGCTGAGGGGAGCCGCGGGGAGACAGGAGAGGCCTGCTGCGCCCTGTGGGTCACCTCCCTGGCCAGAGATCAGACTCAGGCCTTGGGGGTGGCAGTGCTGAGACAGTGCCACCTGGGAGGCCCCGGCTTGCAGCACTTATCCAAAATGTATGTTGCATAACTTCACTAGCTAACCACCCTGAATTTAAGGTGCTAGGTAAGGTGGCTGTCTCTGCCCACCATGCTAAGGA